GACCTGGGTTCGGTGGGTCTGCCCTGGCGAAGAGCCGCATTCTCTTCTTCAGCATCAACAACCGCTGCAAAAATGTCCTGGAATCCTTTACAGGAGTCTTGAGCTTAAGGAATTGATGAAGATCTTTCACAACTGCCGAAATCAGCTGCGCTCGCACTTCCCACTGCAGGATGTCTTTGCCTCTCAAACTGCTGTTTTGATTGCAATAGTACTGCAGGATGGAGCTGAGGTCTACACCTGTCATGGGGTGACGCTACTCCTTAAGCAAGCAGGATGCAAAGAGGGCCTCAGTCTTGGTCCTGAACGACTCAAAGAAGCATGGCCATCCATTGGCGATAAGTTGAAGCGTCCAATTCTGAGATTGTTTGTAGAGTAATGTAGCCGCAGGCACCAGCTGCGCCGGCAACCCTGACACTCCTATCTCACGAGTAAAGGCGGTACTGGAGACAAAGGGACAGTTTGCACTGAAGGAGTCTCTCCACATGGTATTCATCACTTTGCCAGCCTGGATTTGTACCCCAAGCTTTCTCGAAAGTAGGATGCAGGATTCAGGTCTGGACCATCGGTCTCGACGGGTAAGCATGATCCAAGCTTCTGCGGGCTTGTACCGAATCTGAGCGCCGAGCAGTACCTGAATCACTGTGCTTCGCAGACCCACGGTGCCTGTGGCTCTCGCCATAGCGAGAGGTGGAACTTCTGCGCTTGTCTACTGGACGATGCCTAGGCTCTCGACAAGGCCGCGCTGGAATAAAGGCTCCCGCGCCGTTGTCACGTGGAATGGGAACATCATGGGCACTCATTGCTACCAACCTAACAATCCCTACCACCCTCGAGCAACATCTTATGAGATCAACAGAAAGAACAGAAGAAGTGCCAATGGAAGGCGCAAAAGGCAACACATGCAAATATGCTAATCCGACAGCCACCTCTGAAGATCATTGAAGTTCACTCAGTACTGTCGCAAAGACCATATCTATCAGCAGGATCGAGCGCATCAGTAAGTACTGACCCAGTCATGGTATCATCAAGGTCGTCGATTTGGAAATGTTGTTGAAGGTGGTCGCACATGGTGGAAAGCGACACTCCAAAATGACACTGTATTTGTCTGCATCTGCCCGTAAAATTGACATTCACAACTGCGTATGATGACTCTCCACATTTGTGGTTCCGACAGCAAGTGAAGCTGTCGGCAACAAGATAGCGCCGCTCTATCAGCATGAGGCCAGCTAAGCTGCAGTAACTGCCAACGTAAGAAATCAACTGCCCACGTGCGCGCAAGATGCTTCTGGACAAGCATGCAAAGCTGGATCTCTAGGCAGGAACGTACTGGTCGCTGAACTTGTTTGAAAAGGCATCATATACTGCATCCTGGGGCCATCGCGCTACGTTATCTGCAAGATGTAAGGAACTTGAACTCAAAGTTGCTAGAGTCAAGCAAATCTCACAGCACTAACGCAGATGTTGTCTGATGTCGCAATGAGATGATTTAGTCCCACCAGTGGCGTGAGCACCTATGCCAGTCCTGAGCATTCTGATGGTCGCGATCCTCATTGTTGCTAGTCCTGTAGACAAACCTGTCGGTGCAATAGCGACATGTATGATCACAGGGAACGGTGGGACGCTGCCACGTTCTTTGATTTTCGATCATCCGCTGGTAGCGTTCAAAACAGCGGTCCGCTAAGATGCTCTCGACCAGAAGAATCAAAGCTCGTAATTTATCGAGAGGAGCGCGCAAGTCTTCATCACTCATGTCAGTAAGGCGAACACCTGACACTGTAGGATGGTATGACGGGCATTCCTATCATCCATCCTGGAAACATCAATCAAGGCTTGGTCCAAATGCGCTAACAGAAAACTCAATGCAACACACGTTCCGAGTGCAGGACCCTCTGGGCATCCTTTTGCTGAACACAGCTTCTATGTGGGTAAGCCCCTGTGCAGGCAAGGCTGTGCCTGATTGTCCACGTCTCAGGTCGTTTGGGCGACTAGGCCCTTCCGTCCTGAAAGTATGGGATAGACGGGGTGAAAAGCGGGTACGGTAGAAATGGCATCTCCAGGCGTCACCGCTTACCTATATCTGCCCCCGGAAGGCTGCGCAGCCCCCCATGACTCGCATGGAGGTAGGGAAGGTCCCGGGACCCTCCGATCAACATGGAGGAAAGATCCGAAAATTTCGCTGCATGCTTGTGCAAACTGTTGCCAACACCAGGTGCGGGGTAGGTTTCGTACGGCATGTAGTCTGCTTCTGTAAGCTGCAGGGCTTGCGCGTTGATGATTCGCAGTTTCGGTTTGCCAAAGTGGAAAATAAGATCAAGTCAGGTCAAGGTCAAATCAAAATACCATCAAAGCATTGCAATCGCTCGTGGTCACTGTATGCCCTCATGTCTAAAGTCAAACTACCATCCAGGCATTGCAATCGCTCATGGTCACTGTATGCCCTCATGTTTGGTTGCCGGCATGTTGGACTCCAATGCAAGCTGCGCGCTTTCTGGATGCAATCCCTCTAGAATAGTAGTAATTACAATGCACTAGTGGGAAAGCAACAATCCGAACATGCACGGCGTAGCAATAGATAGGAACATTATCACCGGCGAGTACACATGGTTGATCAGACCATGCATCACCAGGGATTCCAGAGTGTCTTCGGTGGTGGCAGACTCTGCTCCCTGCTGCCACCCCCTGCTCTTTGGCATCAAACTCATGTCATGATACATGGATTGAAGAGTAAGGAGTCGAGTCCGCAGACATCCCTTAGGTTTCAGTTAGTGTGGAACAACAACGACGACAACAACAACAACAGCAACAGCAACAGCAACAGCAAAAGCAACAACACCAACATCAACACCAACATCAACGACGACACCGACATCAACGACGACACCGACACCATCAACGATGACGACACCGACACCGACAACAGCACTAACACCACCATCATCAACAACAACAACAACCGCCACCGACAGCCAAGTACCAACAGCCAACAACGACAGCGACATGATGACTGAAACTGCCCCTCTCAACTGGCAATAGCAGCTGACCAACCTCTTTGGCAGCGCGGTAGCTGCGATTGCCACCTTTTCGAACATGTTACACACCACAGCCAAAAATTGGCAGGCCAATTGAGTCCTCAGTCATGGGCAATGCTCAGCAATCTCCGCCAGCGAGAAGGTGACACCTGCATCGACTTCACCGTCCTGGCATGTCCAGCTCTAGAAAACTGGGAATGGCCCAGCCCTGTGCCCTCTTTCTTTTTTTACGAAGGCCTGGCGAGCTACAGTACCATGCAGCGTGCTAGCTTTCCTGACTTCTTCACTTGATCTTCTGGCGATACGCCTACGTGGCTAACTCGAAGCTACGCACGCATCGGTCTCCCTGTCCGGAGGGTCTTACTTTCGACCTTTCTTCAAGTCTCATGACTGGTGCTTCTGACCCCTGGATGTGCCTCTAGCCACACAGCCCGAATATGTTAGCGTGCAAATGATTCGGTTTGACAGCACCACCAACCAGCATGTCTGAGGGCTCAGCTCGCAAGGCTCGGCGCAATGGCTTCAAGTATTGCTTCCTCACCATCAGAATCAAGATAAGAAAAATCGCTTCACTTCGCAGCTCTCGAACCCCTGATACATGCAGACGCGTACATGCGCAATCTGCGTAGCAATGCCGGGGCTGTGGCGACTGTCGGTATTGTGCCTTCTCAGGATGGGTGAGTCTTGGCTCTTGGCTGCAGCTTTTGAGGTTCCCTTGATTCTGTCACTTGCCTTCTCGCTTTTGAATGACTGCTGCTTCTCCTGGCATTAGACGACATCTGCACTCTGAGAGAATGCGTTGCCTGCACCCCGCATGTCAGGATGCTAGGAAATCAGCCCGAACCCAATGGAAACCAAGTTGCCCAACGTGAAATCAAGAGCCCGCCTAAATACACAACATACATGCTGTTGAGCACATGTGCTGGATTGGTTGTTCGTCGTGCTTGTGCCACCTGGTGCCTTACCCAAGTTCAACTTTCCCGGCCGCCGAATGTTTCTCACATGCCAACCATCATGCAGCAAAACCCTCGCAAAGGCCGAGCAGAGAATGTGCTCTGCGTAAGCATCTGCGTGGGTCAGGAATCAGATCGCATAGATCTTGCTTGAACATCTCATCTAAAAGGATGACTACACAGGCATCGGTTGCAGGTATGTCGCTCTGGACACACACTGGAAAACAAAACAACTACGTGCAGGGTGGGCGCTCGGCCTCAAGCCGAATTCTTTGAATTTCATTGTAGTCTCTGCGTCTGCCATTGCAGTCAAAATTAAAACTAGACAGTGAGTATGAAGCCAAGCTCCAAGATCACCAAACTTGCTACCAGAGCTTCATCTCTGGAAGCAGCACGGCTACTGTCAGATGAGGCGACGCTTCCAATCCTGACATGCAAGAAAGTTGAGCACCATGCGATGTTTTTGCTATGCCGCCTGCTCCAAGCGAGAACGTGTTATGTAACGCAGTTGAGCGAGCACCATGTGTTGGCATTGAGGTCTCAGCATGACGGCTTTTGGCAGTGTAGTGCTTGACTCCTGGCCAAACATTTTGCCCAGTACATGCAGCAATTTGAGGGGTAGAAACACTCGGTAACACTCGTATGGTGCATCAAATTCGAATCCATATGCCATGCGCTGCTCTTCAGAGCACAGCATGTTCGTCGCATCACTCCACCAACGCGAATCCCAAGCAACTGCAAATGTTGACCAGATCTGGGCATTGCTTCCTGGAACGTTGTGGGAGAGTGGCTGTCGCTCGCCCAACCATTGGTATTGTTGGTCCTGTGCAGGTCCATACACACTGTGTGAGAATGTTCCTAGAATCTGTGAGCAAAATGGTACGCTATGAGAGTTCGCTGTTCCCTCACCTCCGGAAGAAAGCGTAATTTTACAGCCCAAGTACGGTCTGTTGGACAGGCGCCTGTCACGGTGTTAGTTGAGCTTGCTTGACAAAGCTAGTGCAAAGTCCATATTTCCTTACCGCATGTGCTGAGTCCTCGTAGCACAGGACGGATGAGCGTTGGGGTCCTTGCGAGCATCCGCCACTACTACTATCTACTGGCGAATCCAAGGAAGACTGACACATGTGAAGCAAAATCCAAATCAGCATTGCTTTTGTTTGCGGGTCCCTGCTGCAGGGTATGCACACGCTGGAAAGCTGTGCACCAACAGCAGCTGACCAGGTTCCAGGTGGACAGGGCCTCAGATGAAAGGAACCTGTTGTAGAGGCACAAAAGCAGCAGACTCCACATAAGACGGCCAGGCGGATGCCTTTTGGTTCTTTCCTGTGGCCCCCTCCTTCCCTCTAGTTTTGCTATTCGCGCGTTTTCGCGTCAATCTGCGCCAACAATCTAATCGCAGAGGTGTTACGTTGTTACGTGCTCCCTGCTGAACCGGACAAAAGTGGTGTAGGTAAGCCCTCTTCTTCTCCATCCGGCCTACTGCTTGGTTCAGGCAAGCCATGGCGGTCTTTACTGTAACAGCTATCCCTTGCTTTTTCAAATAACTTTTTAACAACAACTAGTGTCACCCCTGTGCTGCTCATTTCTTGCAGAAGCTGCGTGCAGGCATTGCCGCTGGTCAGCCCTGCCTGCCGGCGAAAGAGGCAGAGAGAGAGAGAGAGAGCAGATCTGCAGAAGTCCGCTTGACACGCGGCAGGCCTGAGAACCAAAGCGGCCCGCTTCACATTGCTTGCAAGCCTTAGCTTTCACTTGCCATTGCTGCAAACCGGGTAGGTCACTGCATTCACTGCCAACAACCACAAGGCCCCGTGAAACATGAAGATCATGAAGTTGGCAGGCACATCTCGACAGTGGAAGCGACACATCGCAGACCTTTTCATGAGCCACAGCACAAAATGCGGAGCCTGGTACTACGACATGCCCCATATGACATGATCATGCAGCGCTGACTGTGAAACTGGTGTTCGCGCTACAACTCGAGCTCGTTCTGAAAATGTGGCATTGCCTGCTTTGCAGGCAGAAGAGCTCGTAGTATTGAATTGCAGAGTCTTCTGCGAAGAACACACGCGTGTTCTCTACATTAACAGAAACAACTACTAGCAGTACTGGAGCCCTCAGCATGTGGAAAGTCCTAGTACTTCTCACGCTGTACATAATCCTTGTAGTTACCCAGTGCCGTCAGGTTGAATTGCTGTCTGACCAGAGATTCCAGAGCTTGCCTTACTTGAATTCGGGTTCAATTCGGGTGCTCTGCCTGTAAGTGTAGAAAACGTGTTGTTGGAAGTACTGGCTGGAAACACACGTTGCTCCGCACGGCCTCGCCAAAGCGTCTGTTACAATATGTTACAGTGGTCGTCGTTCCTTACGTTGGGCCCCATTGATTTACAGAGCTTCCACAAGGTTTGGGATGCCATTCTGCTTTTCGTTTAAGGCTGGATCAAGTTGTTCCCCAAGCAGATCTGCCTGCAGAAAGAGGTCCTGTCCACCCTGGACTTGTTTTGGCAAGATGTGGTTTTCGCAATGTTCTCAGCGAGCTGGACTAGTTTTTGCTTTCTTGATTCTGGATTCGGAGTAAGAAAAGTAGTTCTTGGTGATTGCTGATGCTGATGTTGTTGTTGTTGTTGCTGCTGCTGCCGCGGCTGCCGCCGCTGCCGTTGTGGTTGTGGTTGTGCTTGTGTTTGTGCTTGGTGTTGGTTGTGGTTGCGGTTCGGTTGGGGTTCGGTTGCGGCTGCGGCTGCAGCTGCGGTTTGTGTAGTAGTAGTAGTAGTAGTAGTAGTAGTAGTAATAGTAGTAGTAGTAGTAGTCGTCGTAGTAGTAGTAGTAGTAGCAGTAGTAGCAGTAGTAGCAGTAGTAGCAGCAGCAGCAGTAGTAGGTAGCAGTAGCAGTAGCAGTAGCAGTAGAAGTAGTTGCTGTAGTTGTTGTTGTTGTTGTTGTTGTTGCTGTTGGCGGTGGCGGTGGCGGTGGCGGCGTCATTGTTGGTGGTGGTGGTGGTGGTGGTGGTGGTGGTGGTGGGGGGGCGGCGGTGGTGGTGGTGGTGTTATTGGTCCCACTGGGGATGCTGCTGCTGACTTGAAGCAATTATTGTGAGCATATGCATTGCATGACAGTCGCACACCCAGCCCTGTGAGTCACGTGGTTTCCAACGTGCATTGCGTGTTCTGCACGGTTCGAGATGAACTTCGTGTTCCTTGCGTGGAGCTGTTTTGGGCCTCGGCCAACTTGTTCCATCCAACACTGAAGTGTTGGTTCGCCGAGCAAACCTGCACCAGCGCTCCAACAATATTCGAGGAGACGGTCCCAAACGAGGAATCCATCAAACCTTTGGATGTTCGTAAATCTGCCTGCTACAGTAGCAGAGGTGAGGAGGATGGAGACATCTTCTGCAGGTGACACAGGCGCCATGGATGGTGTGGCTTCGACAGCCCAGGCCGGTAGTCGCATGGGGTAATTAACGCTCGGCTTGGCAGACCTATCTCTATGGAACCACTTTCGTAATTAGAAGCTTCTGTTTGCTGCGACTCTTTCGGGCTTAGCTCGCTTAATCTCGTCCTGAGACTCTGCCAACCTGTCTTTTGAGATTCGTTAATCCTGTCGCGAAGCTGGTTGCCTTGCTCAAGCTCGTCTGAAAATTAATGAGACCTAGCTACACTTAGCGTAGTGACATGAAGTGGTATGCATTCAGTTTGGCACGTGGGCATGATCTCGACATGTCCTGGCACAAGAAAACCCAAAGCGTTTCTGATCTGGTGTAGATGCTGTCGCATGAATACGTCCTGAGCAGGGAATCCAATTTCTGAATTTCAGAAACTGCGCCTGCTGGAGATGTTCGGCATCTTACTTGCTCTCACATAGACTTTTACGGACTGCCTGCCATACGTGTGCGTCCATAGGCGAAATAGAAAGCATCTAAGTCTCTGGTACACAGACTTTGTAAGCAAAGCCTGCGCGAAAGAATGACTTTGCCAGGCAGGAGGGTGAAGAACCCACAGTGCCTGAATAAGATCAACTGAAGCTGCAATAACTCCTAAAATGATCACACCAAATGCTGGCGTAGAGCTGCCTCCAACCTCTATAAATCCCTGGCTGCCCCTGGCCGATCCACTGAACTTTCCTTCAATCTCGCTGCAAGTTTGGCTGCATCCCGTCCTTGATGCCATAAGCCAGGGTGGTCATGTCCGAGTCGGCATCGCTTGTTCTTGCCCAATTCCCTCCCGTCATCTCCACGCGTATGCGACTGCCAATCTTGTTGAACCTAGCATTCCAGCTCTTTGCAGCTTATTTCTCATGCCACTTTCATGATCGTTCATGCTGAAAAGCACGCATCATCAGGATTCATGCGTGGTGCTTCACAAGCTTCGTCATACTTGTTGGGTACTGGGACGACCCCACGAGACCTGACAAATGCATTGCTGCTTGTGGATTGAGCATCTAGTTAAGCTAAGCTCCGGGTGTCCACATTTGTTTCTCCCTGGCCTGATCAGAGCTCCCGAACGTCTCAAGCACGAATCGGCGAGGTTCGAGCCGGCTTTCAAAAACAAATAGGGTTGTATGACGACTCTGTATCGTTTTGCTCGACCCCCTACAATACTGTCTTTTTATTTTCCTCTCATCGTGTGTTCCAAGTTTTGGGCCTCATTGTTTGGTTGCCGATCTTTTTCCTCTGATTGCTTTCCAACTAAACCTCACATGTTGCGCTTCGCAGCGTGCCAGGACGTAACCCGCTGGCGCTTGTTATACAACTCCACAGTGTAGGCAGTGAACCACGTCCACTGACGGCAGCTAGATTGCTGAGCACTGGGAACCAAAAAACAATAGTCAGGTGCCAAGACTAGGAGACAGGTTCTCTGAAAGTGCCTTGTTCTACAAAGGCAGCGAACCTATAGCCCTGGGCCGGTATTGCACAGGCCTCGGTACATAACTTTGACAGGTACCGGCATGCGCAACATTGCGCAGCGGCCTGAGGGGAGGAGACCCGCGTTGTAGAGGTCGAGGTGTTGGATCTGTTGGCTAGCTGCCGGAATACTCAAGACTTGAGGACTCCAGGATGGGAGCGCGCAGAGCTGTGCAGAGCACCCAGGCTTGGACACCACATCAGACAAATCGACGGATCGAACGTGGAAGAATCAGGAATAATGTTAACATTGGTTGTACCCAGGTCACAAATTGGCCATCTGATGAATCAAGACTTTTGCAAGCTTGATTTTCATATGCACCCAAGTACCAACCGCATGGCTCTCAAATGAGCCGCGGCAAAAACCTTTTGAACCTTTAATTAATCTTCGGCTCCCACCACAAACACATGCGCGTGCTCATCGGGAAGTGCAGAACTGCCGCTGCTTCCGGGAGCGGGGTCCAAAACAAATCTGTCGCAGGCCAATCAAAGCCTTTGCGGTCGGCTCAAGCAGATGCAAGTCCAGCCGGAGCCTTCCCGGCCGGCCCAAGACAGGACTAGGTCTGAGCGTTTCACCGGTTTCGCGGTCGTCGCAAGGCAGGTGGTTGCGAGTATTGGGGAGTGGCCTTATAAGCATTCCAGACCCTTAATTACTGGCCGGCAGTGGTCTGGAGGGGCTGTAGCTTGAGACAGTGCTGTGGTCGGGAGTTGCCCTTCTTGCTGAGGGCCCCTCGACATTCGGGGATGTTCGGGGTATGTGCAGTGCGCTGGCGACCTGCGATAGCCACTTGCCTCCGACTGAAGAACCCCGAGTGGAGTACGTGCATGCCACGGCAGGCTTGATGGTCGTGCTCAAAATCCAGTGCGATTTCGTGACGTAGCCTCGTCGGAGCCATCAGAAATTGCCCAGGCCAAGAAACACTAGCAATCACTTGCATCCTGGAGAAATCTGTCAAAAACCCTCAGCCAAACTGATTTGATCCTGAGCAGGTTTTACGTCTCAGCAACCCCTGAACAAGAGACTTTGTGACATGTTTTGATCTGGAGATGCATGTATGGCAGGCCTGGTACCCAAACTGTCTTGAGCTGACGGTTATCGGAATGCTGAACAACCTTATACTCGATTACCCAGATTCTGATATCAGCCTAAGCTAATATTGCAGGTTTTCTGGAGTCTATCAGTCAAAAAAAGGTGAAGCATTCCGGATAGCAAGGTATGTCAGCCAGGGCAACAGGCGAGGCTCTAGGCAACAGATCTTGTCTAAATGCCCGAAGATCAAGGTCTCCCTGATTGGCTGCTTGCGAATGCTTTGTCCGCAGTCAAACTCAGGAGAGACCAGAAAAAACCAGAAAGACAGAAAAGATTGCTTGTCCTGTGGAATGCGCGAAGCTGCTCTCCCAGCAAAGAGTAAGAGTTTTGGCAGATAGGTTGGCATTCTGACTGATCCTAAGCAACATTGGACCCAATTCGGCCAAAGAACCGAGACCGCGCCATGCAAGTTTGGAAAACGAACCTGTTCTGGACCACAGCCGCCTTGGTGGTGCCGCTCCCGCTCTAGCATGGCAGGACTGGCCTAGCGAAAGAACAACTCCAATCACGCAAAGCTGCAAACTCGCTCATATCTGACAGGTCAACGCTGACCATTTTCTCACTTGGATCAACAAAGAGATCCGGCATTGCAAGAGCCAGATTGCCCAGAAGGTCCACGAGCACCTCGCATTGAGACTGGCGGGCCGCAAAACCAAAAAGAACCCCTAATTAGTCGCCCTAACTCGTCGTCGCGCTTGCATGACAGTATGGAAAATCCGCGGATATCTTCAGGATACACCAGCCGCATCTACACTG